CCATGTGACCGGATCGTGCAAAGGGCCTATTGAACGCATTCGTAGCATATTCAGCAGGGGCAAGTTTTAAGACCGACAGACACACTGGATAGTTCCAAATACATGCGAAATTTCAAAGTAAAACAGAAACACATTTTTTAGTAGGCGTCGTCCTCGCCGTCGCGGTCGTATATGCGTCAGGTCCCTAATGTATAGTTTCAGCCATGCTGGCATTTCTTGTGAGGGAACCTAAGCTCACAAGCCCCGTGGTTTTCATTAGGTTCCCTGGCCATTATTTCTCTATTTTTTGCATATTTTATTAGCTGCAATTTCTTTGTATCTTTTTTTATTATTCTTTTTTTATGGCAAATAGCACATAAAAAAAAAAAAACAGCAAAAACCAGTCAGGTCAATCTGTTGTAGTGATTGTACGTGTTTTCCTTTAATTTGTTTGCGAGTCGCCTTGTTCGTACGCTTCGCGTATTTCGTCCGAGTATTCTCTTTTCATCTGCACCCGCATAACCGCTGGCCACTAGCTCTTTGCACCCTCCATGATTTCCATGGTCTCGTGGTTGATTCTAGGTACTTCAGTTCTTGACAACCTTTAGTGCCGGCGAAATACAACGTGGTCGTACTAGAGAGAGAAAGTGATAGTCTTTGTCGTTCACTTGGGATGCATTCTTACAGTTGATATCGAATATTATTCTCTAGTTTATAGACAACCGAACACTCCCAAGAAATTTTTGGGTAGCTATCGGCAAAAGGCTGAGTGATTAACTTTGGTCTGAGCTTCTTGTTTCGCCTACTTTGGGATTTTATTTTTTCGTTGTAGTAATTTTCTGGCGGTTATCCCCTTTTTTGCCAGAGGATATGTTAAGATCAGAAAACTTTTTATTATTATTATTATTATTATTATTATTATTATTATTATTATTAACTCGGTTTCAGTTGCTTTTTGTTTCAATTTGTTATTTATGTAAGGCACTTTCAGTATCGCCCATTTTTATTCTTTTATCAAGTTTGACGCAAATTATTTGACATCGGATGTGCATATACAAATAAGTACTTTACCCAAAAAAACGTGTTAAGGTTTTTCGGCTGTTTCGATTGTTTTGTCGTTAGCTTGTTTTAAGTTCTGACATTACATATTCTTACATTATATTCTTAGAGTTAAGTGGGAGATGGGGTAATGATAGGCACTAATATCACATTTAATTTAAGAGCCGCCTCGCAGGTTATTACAAAACACGGCAAGGTGTTATCACAATTAACGGCAGCTCTGATTATTAAAAAACTTACAACCTGATATTACCATTTTGAAATAGGTGCCTTGTTACAAAACACAAGAACTGTTACACCTTACAATTCACCACCGCTATAACAAATTACAAGTTATTTCAAGTAGTATTACAATTCACGACAAGTATTTCTTACACGACGTTATTATACAATAGGGTACGGCCGACGTCCAATCACAGCCAAGACTGTGTGCGCAATGTAATTAATCTAGCCTAGGCTAGTTTCCCAGGTTTCTTAATTTACTTTTCATTTCTTTTCACCGAAATTGCAAAAAAATGTTTCGCGCAATTGTTTTATTATAGGTATAAACATAATTTTATTTTCATTCGGATTTCAGAGTAGCATTGTAATAATAACATCTCTACCAGAACAAGAAAAAAACAAATGGATTAATGAATAAGACAAGGCTACGTCAATTATGACATTTCAATATTTAATA